GAATATAGCAACTTTCCATCCCCACCATCTATACTTAGAGGCTTAGGCCTAAGACGAGTATTTAGGACCGTCATAATTACCCCCTGTACCTCGGAGAAACACCGGGAGACTAGTAAGGTGATATAAAGGTACCTGAGTTGACAGCAAGGGTTAAAAAAAAAAAAAAAAAAAAATAGACTTGTATAAAGAATTTTAATACTGTATTTATTTAGTCTATAGTTTCTAATATTTAGCAATAAGACTTTTAATAATATTACTTTGAAATCAATACAAAACTTAAATTTACTATAAATTTATATACAGTATAAGTAATAAGTGAAAAATAATCCATATATTAAGTATTATTTTGATATTATTTTGATACCAGTTTTGATATTTTTCAAAACCCTATTTAGCCAATATATGGTACTAGCACAGTTAATTGAAAAAAAAAAGTAATTACCAATAATCTGTTTATTTATCAATAATATATGCATTAAATAAATCATTATAATTATAATTTAAAAAATATTTTGCAATATATTTTCATTTTTGAAACGTTTCATAATGTATAAAGTTTTCATAAAATAATTTATTTATACTAAATAAATAATTATCACCTAGTAGCGTGATTTTAATTTGCCCTTGAAACGGTTGCGTGTATTGATAGTGTTTTGTGTGGTGTTATTGGGTGGAACAGAAGATCGTAAAGTATATTGAGAATTATTTGGATTATCTGTCTTATTCATCTATTAAAACATATAGGGAAATGGATTTTGTAAATTTAAAATGATAAAGAGCATTGCTTTGAACATATCTAACCTTGCGTCTTTTTGATCGAGCTTGATTACTTGGAGATAACCAATCGTTTAGGTGCTCTGAATTGGAATCGTCCCGAGGGCGAGTTTCAACTTCCGAAGGCTTCACTTTCTCCAGAGCACTTTCAGCGGCTTGATGCTTATCAACCTGAGATAATGATATAATCCAATAAATCTTAAATATACACGCGTATAGTGATTCTTGGGCTTACCTTCAATTGATCGTTACTGGGTTCTTGTGACTGGTGATTGTCGGAACCTTTTACCAACGACAAGTCATTAATGCTCAAATCCTGTTCCTGCGTTATTATTGGATTATTGCTTGAAACTTGATCCTAATTGTTTTCATGAGGAGACGGTTTCAACGATAAACCTTAATCGTTTGTATCAAGAATAAATCTTAAACTCTAATCATTTTCTTACCAAGATCATCGAATCAATTTCGGTCAAAGTTAATAGATGCAATTGATCATCACCCTTAGACTCTTCCAACCGAGTAAAATTGATATTAGGAGACACATGTTCCTCTCTAGAGGACTTAATTAAACAATCGGGTTAAGCTACTCCTTCACATTTCATCAAATTTAAAATATTATCTTACCTTTGAATTCAACGTCGCTTCACTCAACATTACTACCTGGTCGGAATTAACCTGGAATTAAACTATTTTTGTAAGTATTAATTCGATAAAACAAAATGAAAATACAAATTGAATAGCGAAACCTCAGACATATCTCCAGGAAGTGGATTGTTGTACGGTTTGTAACCCCTTTGTGAGTGCTTTGCAAATGTTAACGAATGATAAAACCTTTAAAAATGAAAGTATCGAAGGTTTATTAATACAAACAAGTTTTTGAAGAATGGATTTTTCGTTAGCTTCCAAGCGAAGAATTTCAGATCTTAAGGTTTCCTGAAATTATCAAAATATATTGCTGTAATGAATCATAGAGGAAAATGCAATTGCCATCAGGATTACTTGTAACATACAATCTCTTCCGTCAATTCTATCACTTTGGCTTCGGCTTTTCGAATTTCATTTTCATTTTGAACTTCAGCTTGCTTGATCATTTTTTGATAATCACAAATATCACGATTAAGCTTATCAACTATTTCATTATGCTTAATTAACGAATCAATATTTTCCAATTACCATCGAAACTAGGAAATTTTTTAAATTGTCTTAGAACAAAAACTTATTAGTTACCCGAAGATTGTCAGTTCTCATGTCCTTCACAACTTTGTTGTGTTCATTTTGCAAATCACCATGCTTTGTTGTAAGAGAATCCAATTGTAATTCAAGTGAAGCTGCTTTAGACTGTTAAGAAATATTACAGTTAACTGTACTACGCGTCATATGAGGAAGATAATCCGGTGAAATTTTTGTTCAACTACCCTCCATGCTTCCAGAGTTACATCCAATTCTTCAAATTTCTTCTTGTTATCGCGGTTTTCTTGTTCAAAATCCATTATGGTTTTGATGTACTTTAATTGAAGGTCTAAATCTGGGATATCCGATGTTCCAACGGCAACTTCGATGATGTATAATCGAAAAAATATTAGAATATAAAGGGAACCATTTAAATAAAATTTCATCTTATAAACATTGGAATTCACCAGTTGTTCGATCTAAGCGCCGATTCTCTAATTCATTTAATTTAGATTCCAATTGGGAGATTCTACAAGAACAATTGATTATAAAATCATAATTAATGTATGCGCTCGTGCGTACGTTTGCAAAGAGAAAAGGTTGAGATTTCAGGCTGACTTTGATTTTTCATTATCATGAAGCAATGTTATTTCACTTAATTTCTTATTAGAATTATGTAAATCGGTTTCGAAGCGAAATCGTTCGGAACGTTCATCTCGAAGTTCAGACTCTAAACGTAAGCGTTGAACACGTTCTTCACGACTATCGGATTCCAATTGACTACGCTCATTACGCCATTCATTTTCTAGTTGACAACGCTCTCTATAAAATTCTGTCTGTAATTGATGTCGTAGATCACGGAGTTCATATTCGGATCTTTGTCGTTCAAACATTTGCTGCGTGCGAATAGCATCTAATTCTTTTTGAAGGGAATCGAGCTCCTTTCTCGAATTAGTCTTTTCTTGATTATGTTCCAGCTGAAGGTGTTCATACTTTTCTTCCGTCTTTGATAATTGAGATATCCTGTGTAGCATAATAAGATTTAGATTAAAATTTGATTCAGGTTATTGATCATAGGCAATTTTCGCGTTACCTTTTGTCTTTTTCTGTAATCAAAGATTTTAAATTTTGTTCAACCTCTTGATAATTCTTCATTAGGTTCATAAGTCTTATTATAAATACAGATTTGAAAATTCGTTTAAGAAAATCGTTCGTTGGTATTGAAAAAAATAATCACCACCTACTTTTCTTCATTCTCTTTTTGAAGGAGTGTTAAGGTTCGGCACTTTTCGTCGGCACACTCTAATGATGTTTTAAGCTTCTCGCATTCTTCAACTTGAGCTTCCTTTTCTTTCGCGAGGTTCTCCAATTTTGTACGAGCGGTTTCAGACTCCAACGCGTATTGTGTTGCTTTGTTCTCAGAATCTTGTATAACTTGACGTAATTGTGTGATAACATTACTAAGTTGCGTATTGGCATCAATGAGTTTAGTATTCAATTCAGTGGCTTGCGCGATTTGTGCTTGTTCTAAATTGAAACAAGTATGAGACATAAGCACGGTCCTACAGTGTAAGAACTAAATTTGACTTACGTGATTGAGAGTTCGAAATATGATTTTCGGATGCAGATTGATGTTTTGTAACAAGTATGTTAAATTCTGATCTCGATCATAAGAGTTATGTACAAAGCGTAAGTTATCAGAGATATCAATAAATGTACCACTAGCGTTTAAAATACTACTCACCAAGTCTTAACGAATCTATTTCGTTTTCAATTTTATTCTTCCCTTCTCGAATTTCTTCCATATACTTTCTTATACTTGAAAACGTGTCTCGATATGAAAGGTACTTTGTTTTGATACCTTCAATCTTTTCGCGATTCCGTTCGGTGTTATCTTGTTGATGTTTAATAAGCGATTCCAAGATAAAAATACGCTCTCGATAGGTGTTCAAAGAATTATTCTGATGCTCCACAGTCTCATTTAAGGTATTAAGATTATCTTTCTACATAATAAATTCGCTGATCTAATTACGATCCATAATACTTTGACAAAAAATCGCTATTTGTAGATCATCGTACCAGCTTTTTGATAAGAGAATCTCTTCTTTCCACTCCATTCTTCCACCTATGTACTGCATCTATGACCATATACAATTCGTCATCGTCTCTTTCGTCTTTCGCGATTCCCGTTTTTTTAGATACACTCAAACACTCATTGGGGCTTCCTACCGCGGATGTACAATTACCATGCTGCGGCCGTGACTTATCATCAACATTCAGTGGATCGAGTAAATTGTTAGAGGTGACGACGATCTGACCATCTTCAGCAGGTGGTGGGACAGCGTCACTCTGTGGATTTAAAGTTAGCGAATTCGACTGTACGTCATCATCTTGAAGTGTCTTTTCTTCTCGATCTGTGTTAGGCGCAGAAAATTCTGATTCTTGAACATCAGCGGGCGACGTCCTAGAAATTAACTCCGTAATTTGAGATCCTACATTCTGAGGTTCTTCGTTAAGTGTTGAAGTTTTGGTGTCCCTTTCTTCATTATTTTCGACAATAATTTCTTCTGGATTCGTTTTAGAAACGATAGATTTTACGGAGAAGAATTTTGCAAATGATGGTATGGTTGAATCAGAGGACGCGCCAATTTGCTGAGAACTTGATTTATTAATTGCGTTTTCTTGAATTCCTTTAAAAGGCATGCGTGTCGTGTTTGGTTTTGTCCTGAAATGAGGTTGCGCAAACACATTTAAAGGTGCCTTAAGAAAAAATTTGGGATTATTTGACTCTTTTAAATTAGTCGAGCCTTTCGAAGTTGTGTTAATCTTTTCCTCTGACATGAAGAAATAATTTTGCTTAGGTTATTGATGCAAGGTAATTGGTTGATAAAAACTAGTATCATCATTGGATGACAACATCTGTGTCGAAATTAAATTATACTTTAGGAAAAAAAGTTTAAAAAGTCAATTTACGGTATATATTTGAGTTAAACTATATACAAGTTCAAAGATTAACTATTGTTTAAGAACTTATAATTGATTAACATTTAAATTATTATTTTAATAATATAAAAATAAAAAGATATAAAAGAAAATAAGAAAAAAAATCTTTTTGATAAGAATTTTACAAACTTAATTTATTGTATAGTAAGATTTTTATTAATCTTATTAATATACATATAAATAAAAAAATATTTAAAGTACGTATTTATTAAAAAGTTAATATTTATAACATATTATATAATATATATAATAAAAATCAAATTGAATAATTTTTTATATAGTTGCTATAATTATAATATAATAATACAATTGCAATATAATATTATAATTAAATACAATATTATAATTATAATTTGATACAATTATATAATTTAGTACAATTATTATATTATTTTTTATAATTTACAATTAAATCAATATTATAAATTTATTAAATACATATATTAAATTATTATAAAAATATATAGTATCTTATTTATTTATTAAATAAAAATAAAATTTAAACTTTTCAAAAGAATTAAAATATATAAATTATTTTTATAATAATTAAAATATAATTATATGATTTTGTTATAATATTATAATATTAATAATATAATATTAAAATTGTATTATAATATTAATTACAAATAATTAAAAATATTAAATATATAATTTTAATTATGTATTTATAATTTATATTTTTATAATTAATAATTTAATTTAATTAAAAATTTTTTTATTTGATTTTTTTAATAGAAAAATATTTATTATAAAAAAATTAAAAATTAAAAATTAAAAATATATGATTTTATTTGTTTCTAATTGATATTTCTATATTATTATTTAAATTAATATATATTTTTATAATTATTAATTTAATTTAAACAAATATTTTTTATTTGATAAATACTGAAGATAATAATAAACAATTTTATAGTCAATTAATTATATTATACTATATTATATTATATTAGTATAAATTCCTTTAAGACAAATTTATTTGTTCTTAATTCATACATAATTTAATCACATGATTGTATATTTATAGAAAATTACGATATCGATATGTTTCGTATTTTAATTATTAGAAACACTTAAATTACAATACCAGATTTGAAAGATCGAGTAACTTCTATTAAAGGTTAGCTATTCATTGTAGGATTTCCCCCTGCCGTTGAACCTGACGTTGGCAGGCGAAGAACTTTATTCTATATCGAAGTTTGCCTTTTAAGTTGCATATTCTTCGTGGAACCAATTAAAACAGTTATTTGCATCTCAATGTTTGAAAAAACCACAAGTAACACAATGGTACAATAATAATTCTCGTATTACAAGTATTTGAGCTTTTTCGGTACGAGAATGGTTTAATATACGGCGATAATAAAAATATGATACTCGCATCTACTTTTATATAAATAGCCATCCTGCCTCAATAGAAGATTATCGAACGTTTTCCTAGAAAAAGATAATGCCGCCTAATCCACCTGAGGAGTTTTCACCCGCTACGATTTCTGCATATACCTCAGAGTCAGAAACCGCTACCACAACCGTTTTTTCTTCCTCCGAGAAATATCTCACTAATCCATATAACTCCATGCAACATTTAACTAATATGGGTACAACCACAACCAACGTCACAGAGCACAACTTGACTCCACCAACGGATGGTCCTCGAATAGACACCGAGTTCGTAATACGTGGACATCAGCAGAAACAAATACCTACACGGAAAAGATCTAATTCAAAACCTTTACAAGATTTACACACCTTCGCATTATCTTCAACCCCTTCCATAAATCCAAACTTTTATAACAATAATAATTTTGACAACTTAAAGACATCTCGTTTCGATATACCTAACTTACAATCCATAAATTTCGATCGCGCTTACAAGTCAAATAGTCTTCTCGGAAAACTACGCCAGCAGTATGAACCGGTTGAAAAGGAAAAGGTTATATCAAGTTTGGCCTCGAAAGTTCTACCCTCCGAGAAATCTGGATCTTCAATCAATAGTTTATTAGATCTAGTTAATTATTTATTTAGTTCCATTAACATTATCTCTGTGAAGTTTCTTGTTTTGTGTTTATTATGGTATGCATCCTCTGCTGTGACAAACAACATCGGCAAGCAAATTTTAAACCAATTCAAACATCCAGTTACCTTAACCTGGGTTCAATTTGGTTTCGTTGGTTTATACTGCTATGTAATTGGACATATGTTTGGATATACTAGAATTAGAAGACCTACCAAAAGTATCTTACGCACCACCTTACCCCTGAGCTTATTCTCAATTACTGGCCACGTACTGTCCAGTGTAGCAACGAGTATCGTTCCCGTGAGTTTTGTGCACACGACAAAGGTATTTATTTATGTTGTTGGTATAATGTTAATAATTATTTTATTGTTGGGTTAACATTCCAGTTTTTTTCCATTCTCAAAGGCCCTCTCACCCTTGTTCACGGTATTTTTTTATCGATTCGGTTTCAAAGTCAACTATTCATATCGTGTATATATCTCGTTAATACCGCTCACCATCGGGGTGATGCTCGCCTGCTCTTCCTCATCCACTGCAAGTTTCATCGGATTCCTTTTTGCCTTGGGATCAACTATAATTTTTGTTGCCCAAAACATTTTTTCAAAGAAGTTGCTTTTCAATCAATCTCATCCCGGTTATGAAAGACATAAGCTCGATGAGTTAAACCTTTCCTTTTACTCGAGTACGATGGCCTTTTTCCTTATGATTCCCCTGTGGTTATATTACGAAGGTTTTCGTTTGATCTTTTTGTCATCATCATCATCATCAAACACTTCTTCAAATGGTTGGGTTATTACCTTTTATTTTTGGCTAAATGGGACCACCCATTTTGCTCAAAACATTTTGGCTCTGTCAATTTTATCCATCACTTCTCCTGTCACTTATTCAATAGCCTCATTAGTAAAGAGAATTTTTGTGGTTACCGCAAGTATCATATGGTTTGGTCAGAAAACTAGTCTTACTCAAGGAATTGGGATATTTTTGACCTTTGGTGGTTTATACATGTATAACCAGGCAAAGAGAGATGTTGAAAAGAAGGAAAGAAAAGCTCGCGAAAGGGAGGAAATCGTACTACCACTTACTAGATCAGAAAGCGAAATGGACTTGAAAAAACATATAAAGTAAAAACACACATACACACATATATATATAATTTAATCTAGAGGGAATCTTGGGATCATCTACGCACACGCGTAAATTTCCAAAATGTATTTTCACTTTGTACCATGAAAACTTTAAAAAAATTAATACAATACACAGCCGAAAAAATATATTGATGCTTACTAAAAATGGAATGTTCATGTCATCTGGGTAATTATTTTCGAAGTTGGGCAGGGATTTCTTGAAACCTAAAATTGTGATCCGTATTATTTAAAAATAGTGACCGAAAAAATCTTTGTCCCATCTGTCATTTCAATGACTTGCATGCAGATTTATTTTTTTAATAAACAATACAACCTTTTGAAAATCATTACATAATTATTATGTACAAAAAACTGTTTCGTTGATGTAAGTATTGAAAAATGCAATAACTATTATGAATTATTAATGCTAGGACTATATTAAAGTTTTTAATAAAACAGTACTTTTTTATTATTAATGAATAATCGTATCAACAATAATTAAATTACGTATATATTGATTTTAATAATAATATTATTATTATAGTTTAGTTTAAAATATATATTGTATATACAGTATACAGTATATTATATATAATTAAATTAAAATTTATCAATAACTATTATATAACTTGTTATTACTTTTATTTTAAAAAAATCTTTTTTATTAGTATTAGTTTTAAATTCATTATATAAATTAAAATATGTATGAAATAATTTAAAATAAAGATTTCAATAATGAAAATAAAAAGATCAATTAAAAATATTGTTTTAAAAAAAAAACTCCTATTAATAATATTTTAAAGTTAATTTGATCTTAATTTAAAATCATTTATAAATAAAATTATTATTTTACTTAATATTATAAAAGATATGATATTTATTATATGATATTTTGATTTTGATATTAGTATTAAATATAAAATATTTTTTATATATATTATATATTTTTTATTATTTAGACTTTTTTTATATTATTATATATTAAAGATTCTAATAATTCAATTCAATTCAATTTTTAATTCTTATATTTATATTAATTTAATATGTAAGTTTAAATTCACCATAGTATTCTAAACTTTATATAAGTTTATATAAGTTTGTTTAATTCTAATTTTTAGGATTCTACTATATATATATTATACATATTACTGAAATTCATAAATTTTTGACACAATTGATATAATTATTTGATACAATTAATTAAGTTACTATTAAAGCATATAAATAATTAAGTCATAATACAATTATTTTTGAGGATTTTAGGAATTAAGTCAATAACAAATAATTTATATCACATATATAATATATATTTTATATATTTTAAAATCTTAAAAATATTAAAAAGAATATTAATAAATATTAAAAACTCTCTCCTAATTATATTTGTTTTGTTAAAAGTTTTCTTTTTATAATAATTTTAAGCAAGAAAAAATATTTTACACTCTTTATCACAAATAAATTCCAACTCAAAAACTCAAGAATCTTCAAGACAACTAATGCAGTAGAATGAGATCTCTAATCAAAATCTACTTAAGTTTAAAAGTCTTGCTTATCCTTTGATTATATAAGAAAAGACCTATAGCAATTCTTTTTTCTTCTGTTCTCTTGCATTTTTCCTTTCTTTTATTATATTATAAAAACCATCCATATTAATATTATTATACTTACTAAATCAAACACTTCTTTAAAAATACATTTAAACAAAATTGTTAGGTCTATTATTTATTTCAATACACCTTTATATATAACTTTACTATGGCACTATTTACTATATCATTTCAAAATTTTCAAAAAACTAAAATCAATTTATCCCCTTCAGATAATCAATTATTTAATTAGATTTTGTCAAAATAACAAAAAAAAATCAAACCTGTTTAAACCAATTTTTCAACACAACAATAACAACAATTACTATAACAACAAATAATATCAATTACACTTTATTATCCATATTAATAAGAATTTTATCTTTAAGATCAGCACTGGTACAAGAGTCAGACAATTGGTTACCTTTTAGATATTTTTTTTGTTTACATGAATTTTATAGTTCAAGTAACTCAATTTTAGTTTCAGTAGCCAATGTTATTATAGTTCCATAGGACTTTTAATGATATCACTTTGATATCACTTCGATACTTAAATTTATTATAAAAACATATAAGTAGGTCATAACCCATATATTAAATTTACTATAGATCGGTACCATTTTGATACTAGTTTGATACCAGTTCGGTACTTTTTCAGAGTCCTATAGTTTCAATTTATTTTTCTTTTCAATTTTTTTCAATTTTTTATTCTTTTTATATTCAATCAAAAAACTTTAAATAAGTAAATATAGCTGCTCTCAGCTATATTTAGCATATACAATATTGTTTTAAATTCTTTTTGATATTAGCTAGATATAGATATATAAGCAAGCTAACATTTAACTTGTTATATGCTTTTTGTACTCAAGAGATATTATTTCTTTTATTAATGGATATAATTTTAAAGATAATATCATAAATAAAGAAATAATGTTTATTTATTAAAAAAAAAAAATTAAAAAGAATATTAATTATAAAAATTAAAATAAATATATTATATATAAACCACAAAAAATTTCAAAAATTTCCTTTTTTGGCAACTCAAGAAAAACCAAAGGAAATATCCAAAGGAAATACCAGGAAAAACTATCCTTTG